ATATATAAATAAACCTAAATAGCACTATAGGTGTACTAGCACATTGCAAAGAAGAAAGCAGAGCCCCACCCCACAGTAGAAAGCCCCAAAGTAGAAAGATGACATTTTAAGATCTTAATAACATAATTAAAATTATTATTTCCAAGTTTCTCTTAGCACTTGGTGGTCAAAGTGGTAGAGAACCTAGTTCCTATGCAATGAGAGCCCTATTGAAAGCCGTGGACCAAGGGAAGTTCTCCAATCCAATGATGATGTCCCAGTTAATGCCTGTTTTCCATCAGAAGACCTACCTGAATCTGGCGAATATAAAGTGTGATGCGAACACAAGTAAGTGAGTGACCCAGTGCTAGAACCAAAACGTTATATAAAAATGTGCAAATTGTTAGTTTTATGTAGTAAATCACCCCCCAGTTCCAGCAGAAAGGTCCATTCCTTGCAGTACGCTGCAGAGAGAACCACTCTGTCAGACCTCCAATTGCCTGTAGGAAAGCAAGCATTGCGGATTAGAGAGCTGTTGGTCTTACATAGTGTCAGAGGTGACTGCTGCTTTCACACAGCACACAGAGAACCTCTACTTCATCCTGCAATGAAAGGGCTTTTCTGCTCTGGGCTGATTTCCAAAACAACCCAAAGGTAAGATGTAGAAATGTTTTGCTGCAACTAAATGAGCATTGTCTCCATAGGAAAGGAAGTGCTTGCTGCTATGATCACCAGGTCTGATATAATTAAGAGCAGGAAATATTAAAGAGGAAGTAAAGTCTTTTTATTTAAAAATTGCTGACAGGCGGATATTTTATCATAGCAGAGACTGTATAAGTCTCTTCTGCTATAAAAGCAGACATCCCAACCTGCAAAACCTTATTTCAGGGAGGTTCCCGCCTCATTCACGGAGGTGCCCTTTCTGTTTTTTTTACAGCGGCCGTCATCAGAATATAAAATAAATAATAATGATAATAATAATATATATATACATACATACATACATACACATATACACACACACGCACAGTAAAAAAAATCCATATACCAATAATACAATAATATTATATATTTATTTATATATACATCAGATTTGTGAATTGATGTTCAAGTATCTGTCAGTGTAAAGGTCACAATTTATTAGACAGCCCGAGACCTTTTTAAAAAAACGCTGAGGAGTAAAGTCCCTGATACACAGTTGACTAGTTGCTATGGGCAGCAAATGAAATAAATGTTCTCTATAACTAGACAACCAGGACATATAATTGATTCTATATTATCCACAAAGGGTTAACAGCACTCTCTCAACCCTGCAGCAGTGCCTGTACCTGCTCTCAATAGTAGTCTATGTCCGCCCTCTCTGTGCAGCAAGTAGCTTCTTCCTTCTGAGAGCCAAGCCCCGTTCTGAGGCTACTCTAGAGATCACATGACCTTCCTCCAGGAGGCAAGCCTGGTTCTGAGGCTACTCTAGAGATCACATGGCCTTCCTCCAGGAGGCAAGCCTCACTCTGAAACTTTACCCACTGATATCTTACCGGAAAGGTTTACTCAGAGTAAACCTTTCAGTGAGAAAATGCCTCTCTTGCGGACGTCAGGGAGCCGCTATCTAATAGAGGGAGACTCCCTGAACATCAGGGAGACTTGAGATCCCTGTAAAAGCATGCATGAGAGTTGCATCATCCTGGCCTGGCCACTCTAGTGGTTGAAGACCCAGGAGAAGATGGCAGAGCCGTTGAGGGAGGAGAGCATGGACATCGCAATACTGCAGGGAATCAGTTTGCAACACATGATGGCTAAAAGGTCTTTTTCTTTTCTTTTTTTCTTTTTTTTTTAAACAGGACACTAAACTTCAGTCCAGATAGTACAAATGAAATGTATCTGCAGCGTTGGCATCCTTTTCTGCATGCTCCTTAGTTGGACTTTAAGCAGGCTTGCTAATGCACAGTGCACTAGCACATTCCTGTACAGTCAATGCAGTAAAACTGTGACTTTGAGCTACCTGTGGAGCACATATATCCACAGGAAAATCCTACAAAGAGTCTACAGGATGTGCACAGTACAGGGAGAGAAAACATGAACAAAGAAAGGGCAAAACTGTATTTGTGTATTAAGAAAAAATGTAACCCTGTCTGTCTTAAAGTGCTTTACAAAACCAAGTATTCTTTGGTGGATTATAATCGTTTTAACATTATTATCCGTTCCTGTCTTGGGTTTGTTGTATTATAGTTATGTCATGCATTTGTTCATTAGGTTTATAATTTAAAGTTTCTATATTTCAGCTAACTTTCCATTTTAGAACTAGATCTATAAAAAAAAAATATTTTCAGTTACATTAAGTGGTAGGGTTGTCACAGATGTGCGGATATCTCCCTGATGGATGAGATATTTGCCCAGCCTGGAACAGATGTTATGAATGCAAGGTCTTGCTGGGATCCTTACTTGATGGAGACAATAGCACATATACAGTACTATTATATATACATATACCTCTGCTTTGTAACAGACAAAGGTTTGGAAAATTTTCCTATGGGCTGGCCCAATAAGCTGGAACATCTCCCTGTATGTTAAACGCTCAGGCTGCTGAGGAGCTTGTTATCGCCCTCTTAGAGCTCAAAATCTCAATACAAAAACAAATCATAAGCATTGCTAGTAATTTTTGTACTGTCCATGCCCACCTTTGACCTTGGCTTTAAATTTAGTTATGTCAGGAACTGCTATCCATTGTTTGTGAACCTTTTCTCTAGATAAACCATTGTCCATCCCTTTCTACCCTGAAATTGCCATTGGTGATGAGCCAATTCGTGTCCGACTAGTAGTGGAAGGCCAGAATTTTGAAGAAGTTTTTGAGGTCCCTTCACAATCATCACTCCTGGATGTCCTCAAAGCTGCACAGAAGAATTCAGATTTTTCGTAAGTTCTCAATAGTTACCTAATTTCAATATTTTGTAGGCCATGTACGCTCAGTGGCCACTTTGTTAGGTAACCCCATCTAGTATCAGTTAGTACTGTTTTGCTAGCCAAAATTCTTCATAGCATGGATTGAGGAATTGAGCAATATGCAGGGTATATTTCTAAGGGATTATGGACCTTGATAACTCTATGGCATCTTGTACTTCCTGCACCTTAATCAGCAACTCATTCATTCAGAATTTCTCTTTAATTACACCCAAAAGATTCATGGTGTGATTGCAAATTCTGACTCTACCATCTGTATGTTGCAAAATAAAATCGAGATTTGTCAGACCAGGCAATGTTTTCCAGTTCTTCAGTTGTCCATTTTGGTGATCTAATGAACACTGTAGACCCATTTGGATTTGTGCTGCAGGAGCACATGGTCTTCAAAGTCCAACGGGCTGTTGCCCTCTCAATCTCCTTTTTCTTTTTAATGAGTAACTTTTTTTATTCAGCTTTCTGTATTTTATATTTTATTTTTCATTTACCCATTTTAGATTTGAAACTAGGGGTTCATTGTATGGACCTTACCTGACTACAGTCAACAGTAAAGAAGGCCAGTGGCTACTTCTTAAGGATTCAGATATTTCTTTATTAGAAGGTAAGTTTTCTGAAAGGGTTTTCATTCTATAACGCAAGTCTGATAGAAATATACTAAATACATTAAACAACACCAAGTAGATACATGTGAATTAATATAAAAAGTAAGAAACTTGGCACAGACTAGGTTCAAACCCAGCTACTATCAAAAGTAGTACATCCCCCACCTCCCCCTCCCAAAAATGTGCCTCCTCTCTGTAAGTACCAGCTTGTTTCTGAGATGGAGCTTCTCCACATCATCTGTGATCATTGATAAAAGTGTAGGACTAAGGGGCAGGTTTTGTGCATCCTATATGCCCCTGTTGGATTCCTTACCCATATAATACAGAGGATTAAATGTTAAAAACACACCTGCATACATTCTGTCACCTAGTTTAGTAAACTCTATTTAGAATAACGAGAACTTCATGATCACCCATTCAATAAAAACAAGGGTTGGTTTAGCTATGGTATCCCACTCCAGGTCCTCCCCTTTTTTTTTTTTTCTCTTTTAACTGTTTGAATGCACTGCTCCGCCATATTTACAATGGGTTTGCTGAAAGGTAATTAAATTATACTATATTGATTATGATTAATACTAGGTCTGTAGTGTGGTATCATTTAGTATTATTGTGTAGCCCCGATTTACATATGTTGCTACGAGAATGACTAATGCTTTGATTGTTAATAGTTAACTGACCTTGCGCAGTCTGTGATGCAGAGACTTGTGGGAGTTGCAGTGCAGAGCAGGAGGTAAGCCGTGCTATGTGAGACGGCTTGGACTGCAATTCCCAGGAGGCTTAGTTTTCAGAGGAGGGGGGGTGCTGGATAGAGGTGGCTGGTCGCACACAGTTCTGGAGAACACAGTCTAGTGTGCCGACCTATGTGCCTGTGTCTGAGGAGCCAGAGACTCTGTACAAGCCTGTTGCAAGGGAGTGTAGGCAGACCGAGAAACCTCCAGATAGAGAGAGACTTCAGCCTGGTCCCCCGCACTCATTATTGTTGGTCAATCGCTCTTGTGGGGCACAACGTCACTCCTACAGTGGGGGACATCGCAGCCTGGACGAACGGCTGAGCCCGTGCAGTGAGGGATTCAGAGGCCCAGCTATGTTTGAGAGGCCTGTCTGCATCTTCAGAGAAAACTACTCAGTGTTTCCTGTGACCGGAGATCTTCTTAAAGGGGCAGCGGATGACTGCAGGACCAGTAAAGGTGTCGACATGAGGGGAAGGGGATGCCCGTCTCTCGCTGAGGGACATCACAGCTGCAAGACTGACATAGGAAGTGGTGAGAGGCTTCTGGCCATTGTGTGTTATTTCTACAATTCTTCTCAACAACACAGCACGTGCCCCAACGATGGCTAGCCTAGACTATTGCTACTGGTCAGTAGTGTAGAAAGTTGGTGATTGAGACATTAGCAACTGGCTTTTTGAGGTCAAAGACTCTCTCTGAAGTAGTCCAGTACTGCTAAGCTCAGTGTACTGATAGCTGGGGCTGTTGGGTGTTTGAATACCAAATGTATATTGTTGACCATTGTTCATTCAAGTATTGAGCTTTTTCTTATGTATTGTTTAACACTACATAAATATTTGTTCAGTAAAGCTGTTTACAAGACTCTCTAAGGCATGTTGGTGTACTGGGGATCCTGTTGGGTGGTACATTTTGGCTTGGACAGAAATACCCGGGTTATTCCAGTGGCTCCTTAGGGGGTGAGCGCTACAACTGCATTTGTATTGTAACTCAAATATTTCCTATTAAATAATGTAACTAGCCAGAGTGTGGGAGCTGGTCCTTGGCAATCTCCCATGATCCCTTCGTCCAGTACTTCTATAGTGAGAACGGTCTAAGGAAACCTACACTAGAGAAAAATCAAACTTTGATTTTAGACATGCAATCACTTAGCCAGCATAGGTTCAGGAGTGTATATTCTATATTTTACTATATGTACACTGTAGGCTGTGCATGCATGTCTGCACACATTGTGGGTGCATAATTACTAAGAGGATATGATTTACTTATCGGAAGACAACCTATTCACCAGTGTATGCGGATAAAAACATAAATTAGGCCTATTGCATATCATGCTTGATAGGTAGGGGGTCCTATGAAATACTTTACCAGTTCATTGGTAGGAGTAGCACCCACGTGGTGTAGAAGGCTATACAAGCTGGTACCTGTATGCTGAAGGGGCCTGCACAATCAAAGCCCTCCAGCCATGGGATACTATTCCGTACACTTGGTGTACTGAGCTGTTAAAAGGGAAGGAGGACCACATGTAGATTGGATTTCAAATTTACTTACAGGTAATAGCAAGCATCGTTTTTCTTTCACTGATCTCATGCAACTCTAAATGATTGTTATGGTTTAAAGAGGTGCCCAGTAAGATAGAAGTGGAATGTACAGAGGTGACTGAATTACCTACCAACTTTATATACCACACCAGGAGTCCAACAATGAGATCTCTCCACTGAAATAGCTGTAAACATGGCTGTGAGAACATCCTAACATAATGCATTTACAAAGTTTTTAGTCCCACACAACATAAATATACAAAACGTGTCTGATAACATCAGCAAATGGACTTGCACAACTGCGATAACAGAGTAGGTACAAGCCCTACAAGTAGATGCTCCGCCCCCACCCATCCAGCATGTCCAGTTTTCAGTTATATTCAACAAAAGATAAGAAAGTAAGTATAATAGTATCAGAGTGTCTGGAAAAGTTCCAGGAAGGAGTCAACTTCTAGACCTGACAGAATGATATCCAGTATTGAGGACAGAAAAAGTCAGAGAGGAGATAAGAAAGAGAACAAGAAAAGGAACAGTTAGAGGTTCAGCATTGCAAGGATCCCCAGGCCACCACCACTGCGACCAATTTCTTGAAACAGGCACACAGGCAAGAGAATATCTGGCGACAAGGTGGGGACATACTGTATAGCACTTAGCAAAATAATGCAGCACAAAACAACTCCCCAGGAGAACCCACCAAAATGCACCTCCAAGTATCTGGGAAGCCCGATAGCATGGGCTAGGGGCCAGGGGACCCAAGGCGCTCAACCAAAGAAAGAGTAGAAAGAGGGAATAGAAAGAGAGACAGAGAGAGAGAAGACAAATAGAATACGTAGAAAGAGAAGCGGAAAAGAGTATCACTAAAGACCTCAAATATAGTCATGACTTCCCACCCCACCCACCACCGCACTGCAGGGGCGGGCAAAGGGGGAGTAATCCTACATGGGGGACAGTAGTCCAGCAACAGCTAGCATTATATAGAATAGGTTGCCCCATAATAAAGAAAACTTATGAAATACAGAAAAACCAACTATCAGGGAGGCCTCATCAAGGCAACAGCGACCAAAACCAAATAAATCGACAAAAAATAAAATTCGCCCCGTATGGGGACTTAGTGAAACATTTCCTGCACATCTTCAAAGCACCAATCAGGATATGGAGGGGACAATGCATGTCCCGAGGAGACCAATCGGAGCCCACCCAATAAATAGGGAAATGCGCAAAGGCAATCAAGGAGGGAAGGGACACAACCCCCAGCCCCTGCATCTATCCCTCCAGCCACAACAAGAAGGATGAATATCTGCTCACAGTATATACCGGTGATTATGTGAATAACAGAGTGGAGGCCACGCGAGGTGGTCCCCCAATGGCCAAAACAGGTCAAAGTAGTAACTGAAAGGAGTAGACAACAGCTGTTAAGGTCCTACGATCAGTTCTCTTGGTTGTTGGCCTCCGTGGTTTTCTCCACAGGTGTCGGAGAAAACAAGGAAAGAACAGGCACTGTCCAGTTCGGTACAGATATTGCAGACGTATCCAAGAACACAAAAAGGTCCAGGAGTCCCATCGGTAGGTAGCCCCTGAAGAGGAGATCTTATCCAAAATGGGTTTCAGAAGATGCCGCATCTGGAGTGTGCGTCTGGACAGATCTGGAAAAATATGTATGGTAGCTTCATCAAAGTCAATTGAGCCAGTCTCCCCGACTTTGCAAAGTATATCTTTCTTCTCAGCGTAAAAATGAACTCTGCAAAGGGTATTTCGCGGGCCTGATGTCACACCACGACACCCCAAAGTTTTCAGATTCTTTCCCCTGCCATGATTTTCTAGATAATATTGCTTTAAGATAAGCTGGGTCAGACAGTGATCAGCTCTGGCTTGGGACTCCTCCATCTGAGAGACCCGGGATGTTAAGACCACTTGAGCAGATTCAGTACTCTCAACACAGGAGGAGAGGGAGTCTTTCACTTGCAAAAGTTCTTCCCGTATGAGTTTCTGTAGTTGGGAAGAAGATAGGAGCCAGTCCTGTTTGGTCGGCAGACACGCCAATAGGCCTCTGGTACAAAAGAAGAAGCCTCTGGTCTCAAGTTGCTCTGTCTTCATTCACCTGGGCATGGGTCAGCGTCCTGATGTGGCCCTGAAACAGAAGCACTGTCAGCCAGTATACCTGGAGGGGAGGCAGGAGAGGGAGGTGCTGAT